GTACAAGTCGGGAATAACTCTGGTGGATTAGACTAGATTGTCTAATATTTTAAGGAGGCATGTGTACAAATAGTCCCCAGTTTTATTGTAATATTAGTTCGTCGCGGTCTTTGGCAGACACTAAACAACGAAATAATATGAAGAGGGGTTTTCCACCCACAGTCAGCAATCTGATCGGATTCGAGTCAACATGCAAGCACTTGCACGTTAACCAAAATTTATGCTTTCAGAAACTAAAGAGCTTCATCATATGCAGAATAATGTGGATGATCTTAATTGCATTTACTCCTTCTATAACTATGGTCGTGCGATATTTAGAACAAATTCATTCGGATTTGGGCGCTCCTTCTGCGTGGAGCTCCACATGGCAGATGGATTTCTCATCGTCGAACTGACGATACATGTGCTTTGGGCTAGAAAGACTGTCATAACCTGTTACTTTTCAAGGTTGCCTAATTACTGCATGTTCTTAAAACCAAGGTCTAGGGTTTGAGCGACAAAAATAAATTAGATCTCTCGTCGCACACCGATAGAATTTCGGCCAAAGCTGCACAGATTTGTGGCTTTATTTCTTATGATTTCTACCTTCCTGAAATGAAATTAAAACTTCATCGTATGTTTGTGCTTCACATTCTAGAATACCATTGCCCATTCTTCGGTCTGATGAACGAATCTAGTCGTTCAAAAATTGAAAACGTCCAAAGACATTTCACAAGAAAACTGTTTTATCCGACATTTTCAAATACTTCCTACTCAATTATATACCAATTAGACCTTTGTCTCCTTTTTTGCCTTAATAATATTACAAATGTCTCCAAGTTTTTCTGTCACTATTCCCGTCAGCCGTCCTTACAACCTAAGATATTCTGCACTTATTATACCTCCTTCTGCATCCTCCAATTCTTAACACTGTTATCTGCTTCCAGTTTGGTCGTTAACTAGTTTATCTGTTTTCACTCGAAGACTGTACATTTATCTTAACATTGATAATTTTATTCTCCTCATCTTTTCCGAGCAACTTTCTTCACGGCAACGAGAAAGGCCCCATAAAGCTATTTTCGGTGCCTCGTGTCCCCCGGAATCCTAGATGTCTCCATAATCCACCGGTCATTCAGAGAATGGAAGTAATGTTGACGTACTCGGTCTAAACTGCTCCCGTTTCGTTGGCTACTAAATAAATAAATAAATTTATATTTGAGGCCCGGAGGGCCTCGTCATTGCAAACTTAGGAAGTTGAAAAAATGAATACAAAGTTAATAAATGCTGCTCTCTGTGAAACAACCACAATGGCAGCGGGAGCGTTTAGTATTGTTGATAGATCAATTCATATTCACCAACATATCATCGTTTTAAAATAGTAGTCAACACTCTCT